ACTCTTTCCTGCCTACGCAGGGGGTCGGACTCGATGATCTATTGAGGTCCCTTCCGACCCTAACATCTACGAATCTATGAATCAAAGAGCCCCCTCCCAGGAGGAGAGCAGCTGCACATTCTGCCCAGGCCTGCAAAGTGCCAGGGCAGGGCTGGAGCACGCGCCACGGCTGCAGCAGGGCTGGGGCAAGGAGCATGGGAGTGAGCCAGGGGGCCAGTAATGATTAACCGGGGCTGGCAGGGTCCCAACATCGCAGCAGAGGAGGCTGGAGCGCCTGTCCTTGGGGCACTTACCTGCATAGCTCCAGTGCCCATGGGCAGCACCTGGGAAGGGAAGAGAAAAGGGAGCATGAGTGCAGCCCTGAGCTAGCAGCAAACATGCCTGTGGCAGGCTGCACCCCTCTCCCCTCCCCCCGGTCCTCTGCCATCTGCCCCCTGTCCCAGGAGCCATGGGACTACCTGGGGCTCCAGGGCTGGCCAAGGGGACCAGTGGGCAGCAGCAGCACCACGCCTTGGGCCCCGGGACCCTCAGCTCAGCCACTGGTGACAGCGGCGAGGCCAGAGATGCTCCATGCACCGAGGCCCAGTGCGGGCTCTCCCTAGCACGAGCTCTCCCTGGCACATCCCCCCTTGCCCGAGCACCCGTTCCAAACCCTCTGGCTTGGCCAGGCCCTGGCTCTGGCTCTGGCTCCTTCTGAGGCAGTTGGGGCTGGGAGCCAGCGTGCTTCTCGCTGCTGGCTAATGAGATGCAGATGGCCCTGCAGCCCAGCACGTCCACCATGGCCCTCAGGCCACAGGCAGCACCGTGCAAACTGGCTTTGGGATGCTGCATTGGGAACCAGCATCTGCATGGGCCTGGAGGTCGCGTGGGGGAGGGCCCAGGAATGATCTGTGGGCTGGAGAGAGGGAGGGCTGGGGGTTGGCAGACAGCAAAGGGCAGAGCAAGGCCTGGTAGGGGGCAATGGTTGGAGCAGAAGATCCTGCGGCCCTGCCTGGCCATCACCTCTGTGACCCAAGCACAGTTCCCCCTCTCCCGCCCCATCATCTGACACATGTGGCAACTCCTTGGCCAGGGCTGTGCAGCCCCAGAAGGGGACAGAGCCTCCAGGAGCCAGCACCATACCCCAGCCCCCAGGAGCCAGCTGACAGGCTAACAGCTCCCTGACAACAGCAGCTAGTAACAGGCCACCGCTAATTATGCAACGACCCCTCCTTGGAAGAGGGGAAAGGAGTAAGGGATGGTTCCCAGGCTCAGGCTCAGGCTCTGGGGGCCAGACTTCCTTCCCCTCCATTGGGTGACACCCATCCCTGTCTCAGGATCGTTGATGGGGAGAACCCCTGCCAATGGGAGGACCCGGGATGGTACAAGTGTCCTTCAAGTAGCAGTGCCCTGGCCTCCGGAGCATCACGCCCAGGAAGTGCCACCCTGCAGCTGCTTCTGGCATGAGCGGGGCACGCAGTGCACAAGGTGGGGGCAGAGGGACACCTGGGCCAGTGGCAGCATGGCTTGGGCACCCCATCCTATCCCCGCCCTGGGCCAGTGGAGCAACCCCGGGCAGCTCAGGGACCCCAGCAGCCACACCGGCATTTAGGGTGGGGGAGTTCAGAAAGGACCTCAAGGAGCACCTGGTCCAGCCCCCTGCATGAAGGCCAGATGCTGCTCCTGAACCCTCCCTGCCCAGGACTGATCCAGCCTCCTCCCAAGCTTTCCTGTGCAGGAGACTCCATCCCCCGGGGAAGCCGGTGCCTCTGCCTCCCTACTCAGACAGCAACGAGGTTCTCCTGGTGCCCATTACAGCCATTGCTATGTCTCCTGCTTCCGAAGGAGAGAGGACAGGTCTCCTCCTCCTCCTCCTCCCCCTCCATGGCAGCCTTTCAGGCATTTGCAGACTGTTACCATGCCCCCTCTTAAGCTCCTTTTCTGCAAGCGGAACATAGCTTTTCCTTGCACAGCTGCCAAACTCAGTGCCTGAAGGTCTGCAACACCTGCTAAGTATACGCTTGGTCCAACAGCAGTCACCAAGAAAACCAAACCTCACCTCTCATACATGTCCTGGACTGTCATGACTACAATATCAGCCCAACCGCATTTCAACCCATAGATCATTTTTGCCACCCACCTCTGGACCCTCAAACACCTCCATGTCCTTAAAGCGTGGAGCCCAGCCCTGTGCACTGTGGTCTAGAGGAGACCTAGAGTGGTACGGTTGCCTCCTGCGTCTTATGCCTGATACTCCTTTGATGCAGCCCAAAACCACGCTTGCCTTCTCTGCTGCAGGTTGCTGCCTCACATCTCGTATGTGGCGCACCCAAAACCCAGGCCCTGCCTAGCACTGCTGCCACCCCTCCTGCCTGGTCATCTGCTATTCAGCACTTGGGCTTCTCATTCTTCCCTAGGTGCATCCCCTTGGATGTGCCTGTACAGACCTCCAGCCCTGCCATTCAGGCTTGCAAGATCTTTCTGGAGTCCAAGCCTGTCCTTCTGTGCACCTGCAAGCCTTCCAACTCTGTGTCATGTGAGAATCTGCTCGGGGAGCTCTCTTCTGGCCCCCAAATCAGGAACAACTCCCTTTGAAACCTCCCGCCGTTCTGACAGGGACCCATTCATGGTGACACATTGCTTGGGGTTACCAAGCCTGTTGTGCATCTACTGGAGAGCAACTTTATCCAGCCCACATATCTCCAGTTTCCTTATGAGAGCTAAAGTCTCCCTCAAGCAGTCTCTCCATCCACTTAACCCTCTTCTGTGTCAAAGGAGGAGATCAAGTGGTTGCAGCATGATTTGTTCCTAGCAAATCCACGCGGGTGGCTCATGGTCACCCTGCCCCCACCAGGTCTTTACAGTTTGCTTCTGTAACTTTCCAGATATTGCTGTCAGGTTGCAGGGCTGTAAGTCCAGGTGCTCCACCCAGCCCAACCTGGACCTTTCCTCCCACCCCTCCCAAGATGCCCAGACCAGAGCTCAGCCCCCTGCATCTGCAGAAAGTGTGTGTGTGTGGGGGGGGGCAGACACCCCCTTACCCCAACCCACCCGGCTCCAAACTCAGGCCGCTGCTGCCCTCCACCCCACCCTGCTCCTCTCTGGGGCAGCCCCAGTGCCACCCGCACTGTGGGTATACCACACATCGCGTTCCCCAGTGTCCAGAGCTGAGCTAAATCCCACCCAAACCTGCTATCCCCCTGCCCCTGCCCCTGCCCTTCCCAGCGGGGCAAAGCAAGCAGGACAAGGGCCAGGGCTGTGCAGAAGGGGCTCCTGGGAGGGGTGTCCAACAGACGTCCAGCACCACAGCCACAAGGGTCACAGCATCAACCCTCCTGGCATCATACGTGGCCCCCCTTGGGCCTCCCTCTCCTGCATTCTCATGGGACACAGGTGCCCCCATGCCCTACCCTGCTGCGTTCTCCTGGGCTGCTGCGTGGCTCTGCCCCAGAGGTGGCTGTCTGCCCTGAACATGCAACAGCAGCAGCTTCACGAAGGACCTCGGCTGTCAGCTTGTCCAAGCCCTGCACGAGGGCAGGCTCCCTGCTTCTTACCTGGCCCCAGCAGGCACCCACCCCGGCTCTCCCCAAACACCCCCGGAGGGGACTGCCCCTCGCCCTGCTGCCTTGCCCAAGGGCTCTGGCAGCCAGGACGTTTTCCCTGAGATTTGATCCTAATCTGCTTTGCAGCCACTGAAACCCACCAGCAGGCCACGTGTCCCACCTTCTGCAGGGGCAAGGAACAATGCTTCTCTTTATCCTTCGCAGCAGGCTGGCAGGTCGCTCATGGCTGCTGTTACCCCCCACCCCCAAATCTTTTCTCCAAGCTGAACAGTCCCAGTCACAAGGAGGAGTCACATCCTGCCCTGCCCTGGGACTCTTCAGCATTGCTTTCCAGCTCCATCACCATCCTCCTCAGTACCCTTTGCTGGGGGCACCCCAGTCTGGCCCCGTTCCCCCGCAGCCTTCCTACAAGACAATGCTCCCCTGCTGGGGTGAGCCGACCACGCCAGGCAGTGCCAGCAGCAGTGGTGGCAACACCCCCAGGCCTGGCCTGCACCGCTGCTGTACTGCAGCTCGGCCCTGCACCCCACCAAGCCCCCTGGCACAGCCACCCTGTCTCCCCAGGGGTGGGATGGGGCACACCCGGAGACTAACCTTCCCCTCCCCTACAGTCAGATCCAAGCTGTTGGTCACTGAGCTGCTGAGGCCCCCTCCCAGCTGCTCACTCTCCCCACGCCCCCTCCTGCAAACCACAGAGCCCCAGCCAGGTGCAGGTGGGAGGGATGGTTAGTTGCAGCCATTTGGCCTCTTTGTCTGCAGCCAGCAGCCAACCCCTGCCCCCCATGACAGGACAGGGCATGCTCCCACCCTCCAGGAGCCCCAGCACTGCCCAGGAGGGATCAGGTCTCGGCCCCCAGTTGCCATGGCAATGAACATGGGGCCTTGCAGGGAGCAGAGGAGATGGGGCTACTCCACAGCCCTTCAAAGTGTTTCCTCCCCAGCACGGCCCCAGCCCTGCCCGCAAGTCCCCAGCCCTGGACGTGTACTGGAAGGACAGGGGGACACCAGGAAGGGTGGCTGTGCCTTAAGGAAATGATCCTTCGGGCACAGAGGGAGACGATCCCGATGAGAGGAAAAAGAGGGAAAGGGGCCAGGAGGCTTCCCTGGCTGACCAGAGAAATCCAGAGCAGCCTACGGGCTAAAAGGGGAGCGTATAAAAAGTGGAAACAAGGAGAGATCACCAAAGACGAATATACCTCCTCTGTTCGTGCTTGTAGGGAGGCAGTTAGACGGGCCAAAGCTGCCATGGAGCTGAGGATGGCATCCCAAGTAAAGGATAAGAAAAAATTGTTTTTAGATGTATAGGGAGTAAAAGGAAGGCCCAGGGAGGAATAGGACCCCTGCTAAATGGGCAGAAGCAATTGGTGACGGACAGGGGGGACAAGGCTGAACTCCTCAACGAGTTCTTTGCCTCAGTGTTCCTAAGTGAGCGGCAGGACAAGTCTCTCACTGGGGTGGCGAATTGGCTGGAGGGTCGCACCCAGAGAGTCATGGTGGATGGGTCGGTTTCGACCTGGAAGGGTGTGGGCAGTGGGGTCCCGCAGGGCTCGGTCCTTGGACCGATACTCTT